GACGAAGGTGACGAGTTTTCCAATTAATTGATTATAAACTTTCGCTTGTTCTGTTTGGGAAAATATTTTTTGGAAAAAACATGTTACAAAGCGACGGCGAGAGGCGAGGTTCCAATAAAATGTATCTTATAATTTTTCACAGAAAATACCTGAATATCGTCAGTATTTTATGTAAAACTAAAAATAGTGCGATTTTTGCGAAGAAAAAATAGCTTAATAGAAACTTTGTTAAAACTGGAACGACCTCACAGTTTAAAGGTACTTTAAAAATCTTCAGAGCTATGGGCGGCAAATTTGACGAATAATTTTTCGTAAACTTCTGCTCAGGTCGTTTTTTCAAGATGATCCTAATTACTTCCGGTAAAAAACTGAATAAAACTATTTGGTTTTTGTGCCAAATTCGAAGCTGAAATCGGTTTTCTAAAGTTCCCTGCAAACCGATGAATGAGGCGAATTTTCTAGCAAATATAATTTTGTGATTTTTGTCTGAAAAGATCCCATTACTGTCATAAAAGAAGAAAATCATCAGAAAATAATGGTATTTCTCGTTTTCGATTAAAAACTTTTAGTTTTGTGATTGGTTTTGGAGAAAACCTTAATGGCTTTCGGAGGCAAACGGGAGGAATTTATTTTCGTTTTTGTCCCGAATTCGATGCTGAAAACAGTGTTTGTAAAATTTTTACAAACCTATAATTTTATCTCGTAATTTTTCGCCTAATAAACCTCCAGTTGGTCAGTATTTTTAAGTGAAACTCTACAAAATAGAGCGTTTTTGAGTAGCAAGTAAAGCAAAAAAATCAGTCAAAACTAAAAAACCACATTTTTTAACAAATTCCACAGTCTTCAGAGGCATGGAGGTGACGAGATTTCCAAATAATCTGTTATAACCTTTCGCTTATTCTGTTCATTTTTTGATAGAAAATTGTTTAATTTTTGTTCCAAATTCGAAGCTGGAAAGGAATTTTAAAACTTTTTACAAAGCGACGAAGGATTCCAAATTTTTTTCATAATTTTTTGCGGAAAATACCGCAAGATTATCAGCATTTTTAAGTGAAACTTGAGAAAAAATGAGAGAAAATTGAGCATTTAGAAGAAAGAGTACCTAACTTGGCTAAAACTGGAAAAATCTGAAGAAATTTTAAAAATATTATTAATAAATGGCTCTTAAAGTAAATCTAAAAACAAGTAAAAAAAAATTATCAACATTTTCCCAGCAACGGAGCTTAGTTACTGTGCCTCCTAAAAATTCACTGAGTTATTCACTGACATATCGGGAAGATGTCTTTTAATGAAACTCCCTGTAGCATTCATAGCTTTCCTTGCCATTTAACAATTTCAGACATTAACTGCAAACGGCGTAGTAAGCGGTAATGTTCTTTTATAATAAATTAATTGTCAAGCGTTTTATTATTTTTAACTGACTGACAGGGTCGAAGTGTTCAGCTCCGTGTTGTCTTTGGGAAGCGTTTTTGTCCGAATTGCGTTTATCAGAAAAGAAAAAGCGAGTTTTTTAGTAGCATACTTAGGAGCAAATCCACATAGTTTCATTTAAGTCAATCTCAGCACTTATAATACTCCCGATATTACAAAAAACATACTTTCAGTTTTTTTAATGTAAACTGTTAATGAATTTCTAAAATTGTCAGTTGGCAAGAGAACAGAAATATCTTGATGCGCAAAAACTATCAATGCTCGAAGATTTTACCAAGACGACAAAAATGACCAGAAAGGATCAGTGCATCAACTAAAAAAAAATGAGTTGATTCCAGCTACCCAATAAAAAGTTCTGGTAGTTTTTGTACCGCATGAACGCGGTTGCTTTACCAAAACATGAATTTTACAAAGGAACAGGACAGATTCATAGCGAGTTTCAGGAAATTCCAAAGTACCATTCTTCCGATATAAAAAACGAGTTTTTTTAAAGAACTTTGACCATCAATAGCAAGTTGGATTAGATCGCCTTCTTTTGATCCAAAGAATATCGCGGTACCCTTTTGATCGTGTGCTTACAGGATCCTGTAGAAGCTTCCGATCAAAAAACGTAGTTTGCAGATCATCAAAACAGTTATAAAAAACGATGACTGAACTCTGAACATGCCAGGTTTTTTCACTTTGAATGCGAGTCAGCCAATTTTTGACTCCGAGCCAAATTTACTTTCAACATTGGCGTCAATTTCTTGGTTGTTCAACTATAGTCTTATAGTGCTGGTCGCTCAGTGTTTGCTTAATTAGTGAGTCGTTTTCACTAAAATATCCGATGATTTGTGTGTAGCAAACGAAGCGGACATTCACATGGAATCAAGCGAGCCGGACTACGAATCCGATTGGCCCAGAATCCCCAATGTGTTGAACTGTTTGGACTACGTGCCTGATAGCTGCGATGATCGAGACACCTTACATGATATGATCTCGAAAAGGTATTTAGTAGAGAATTAAGCACTTGACTGATTGCTGCAGTTAATGCGTCTTGTTCCAGATATCCAGATATACGAACGACTCTGGATGCAAGTGCGGATGAGGACAAGTGCCGAATATCCGCCTACGACAATGTGGAGCTGGACCGAAGACATCCTCGGCCGCCACCATCGGAAATCAGTGAAATTACCGAATTTTCTGATCCATGGGCTGAGCCCAACCAAGTGGTCACCGAAACTGATGAGTCCTACGCGGAAACGGTCACTCCCCACAAAATGAGGTGTGCCTCAATTGGCCGGACGAAGAGTTTTAGGGATCGGCTTGATCCTCTTTTGTGTAAGGCTTCATCGAATTCCCTCAACTGTTCTTATTCTCGTGTTATTCCACGTTGCAGCCTCAGCAAGACTGGATAGATTGAAGAACGGCGACCAGAATGGCCAGTCGAAGGCCGTGGGCACCACAATCCGAAACTATGCCTTAGAACTAGCTCAAGACAAAAGTACCACATTTGCTCAAAACGTAGATAATTTCATTGCGTGTACCTGCGAGTCGAAGGAAACGAATCCTCAAGTGGTTATGAGGAATATGCGGCAATTCATGTCCGGAATGAAGAACTACCTGGTGAAGCATGGCGAGAAGGGATTTTACAAGGAGATTGAACGAGAGAGGAATAAGGTACGCGCTCCTCTCCAGCAGTCCCTTAGTTGTAAAGCACCTTTGCATATTTACAGCTCAAATCAACTGAATTTCTCAACTTGGACGCCATTCTAGAGGGAGTGATGCACAAGCTGGTAGTTCGGCCGTTGAAGGCCCATTTGCAGAAACTCTTTTTGGATTACTACACAAAGACTGGAGCTATCCGCCTATTGGCCGACAACATTCAATATGCCGCCTCAAGGCCCGTAGGCGAGCTAGCGATCAAGCCCAAGATAACATTACCGTCTGACAGTGTGCTCAACAAGATCTCCCAATACATCCACAGGCTCCAACAGGCTGACTCTCCATTGGAGAAGCTGGAGAATCTGCTGGCGGCAATTGCAATAATCTTCAACTCGGTATGTTGAGAAGCATTTGGTTGCTGATTGGTCTAACGCAACTTTGTCTAGGTGAAGACTGGACAGCTGACCGGATCGGGTCGATCGGTGCAGTTGGGCGCCGACGATTTCCTGCCGATTTTCGTCTGGGTAATGGTGAAGACTAATTTTGTGGCTGCCGAAATCGAAGCCGAATACATGTGGGGCCTTTTGCACCCCTCGTTGTTCTCTGGGGAGGGCGGCTACTATTTGACCACCCTCTCCTCGGCTGTGCACGTGCTTAAGAATTTCAAGAAGAGCTGTGAAGAGAACAACAAAAACCACGTGGAAAACGATGTAAGAATGGGTGCAAATGCGGGAGACATTTTCTTACGTTCCGTCTTCAATAGTTGCCTTTGTTATAGTCAGTGTTGAAAGTCGTCGTCCCGGACGAACTTCACGGCTCGATTCTGACGAAAACTGTTCCAGCGCGGCCCCAAATGACTACCAAGGAAGTCTGCAAAATTATCGCACACAAAGCGAGGATCACGAACCCTCAAGATTATGCATTGTACCGACTTACTGATGGAGAAGGTAATTTTTGCAGTGATGTTTTTCGAGCGACACTCACCAGTTTCGTGCTGAATGCAAAAACTTTATCATATTTTTTCCAGAAACCATGCTGTTGGATAATGAGTGTCCTCAAGACTTCATGAAAGATGGAAAGCACACGATGTTAGCTTATAAGAGAATCGATGCTAAAATAGCATGGCCCAATCAGGACAAGCTCAAACTCTAGTCATTTTTTGTATAATTGCGAGTTTTGTCCGTTTTTTGTATATACCTGTACTGTAAGGAATGATGTAAAACCATATTTCGATACGTAATAATAGTAAGTTTTTGATATAAACGTTTAACAGTTTTTACCATTTCCATAGTTAAGCTACTTATACACTGCTACATTGTCGCCAGACGACCACTACTTGTGAACTATTGATTTTTTAATAATACTTTTTTATGTATAAAAATGGTGTACCTACTAAAATAAAATTAATATATTAATACAATTTTTATTATTGCCAATTATTTTTGAGAACCGTCCCATGTGCTTTTCAAGCACAATAAAAGATTTGACAAAGTTACACAGAACATATATTGAATAAATTTTACAATAATACTGTTACGATCACGAATTTGTTTTGTTTAATAAAAAAAAGACAAAACATTTTCAAATCCTGTGTGATTTTAGATTCTAGGCATAAAATTGTATAATCTGCGTAAGTACACCCTGTATCCTTTGGAGCTTCCTCAGTGGTAGGCATGAATAATTAAGGTTTTTGGTTCTTTCAAAGACTGTTGGGTTGTAAAACGCTCAGAGCGATTCCTAATTGGGCAGCATAATATAAAGACATTATTATCACCTGAAAAAATGTGTGTATTGTATTAGACGAAACATTTATGAGCATTTCTTCCCACCTGGGCATGAGCGACGGGCCGAACGAATTGATCTATTCCGATAATGAAGTCGGACAAACCAAACAGAACGCTTCCGCTAACAGTGGCCAGTTCAATCCAGGTGCACTTTTGGGACTGGAAGTTGAAATATAAAGGAAGTTTAATTGGTGTAGATAAATAAAGGAAAGCGTTTTACCTGGATTCGAGCCCACGCCCTCCAGATCATCATGCTAATGACCAGGATGTAGATGGGAATGACGAACCGCATCACCCCATATAATCCATTGTAAAGAATAGCGGCAACTAATAAATATTAGATTGAATATATCGGATGTCCGAATAAAGGTGCTGGATGGTCGACAGCATTTAGCAATAAAAACGGATTGAACAGGAGTTTGGCACAAAACACGCTACAGTTTTCCCCGCAAACAACTGCACTCAAACCATTTTTGAGTTTTCACGTAGTAAATTGATTGTGGGAAAGCTGCGTTTCCAACAAACTTGAAAACATTTTGCGTGCAGTTGATTCAGAGGAATAAAATTTGGAACCCGAAGCCCAAAATTCGTCAGATGAGCAAATTATAGAACAACGAAAAAGTGTCAAAAAGCTGCACTTTAAGAAGCAGGACTATACTCAGTGTAAATCCGCAGCTGAATCGAAAATTCTTGAAATATGAAGAATATGGAAAAAGCATATTTTTGAATAATAATATTTAGATTTTGGAATAATTTACTGCTTTTGCAAGACTTGAAACTGTATCGAGAACTTTACCTGTAAAGGTTTGTTCCCAGTTGCTACCAAAATTCAACAATTTATCCGGAGAGACGCTAAAGTATAGGTACTAAAAATACAGTGCTATTTTCACTCACCGATTAATGCTGGAACCAGCAAGTAAAGCCACAGCTTGAGCTTTAAGGGCTTAAATCCGAAGGCCCTTATGTAATAAACATGTGCCAGGGTAAATGACAACATTCCTTGTAAAAAACCCGCTTTCCATATCAGAAAGGCGTCGCCGACGCCGCCAAACATCAGGCCATATAATATATTCTGTGAGAGGGGATTTCTGGAACAAAACACGTTCTTTCATGGGCTACAGTCACATCTATTAATTAAACTCTCTTGCAAGTTTTGAAAATTGCATTTACTCCCGCTACATTAAAATTAATCTGATATTTACTCACTCGTTTTTGTTAGTGCTAATGACAAAATACATCAAACTAATTATGGGAGCACATTTGGTGATCACAGCCAATGCAGATGGTTCATAGTAGATGAAGATCCGAAAGTAGAACACAACACTGATAAAAAAAGGAAGCAGCTTGATGAGGGCTAAGCGTTGCTGAAACAAACTATTAATATTAGCCCAATTTTTTCATTAAGTAAAGTGCGTCGCAAATGCTTTTAAATTTGCTTCAGTTTTCTGAACTATTCCTCGATCTGGAATTGGAATCATTGAAGCACGAGAAATTAATTCTTCACATTTCCTACATGTTTTTTCAATTGCGCACAAAAAATCAAAGGGCAATTCTGCAAAAAAAATGTAGGAAGTTCGTATAGCAGTTTTGTGAAGTCCCTTAATCCGCCAGAATCGAAATGAGCATTTTGTCTTTACCCAACCAAACTATTATTTGCTTTTTACGAACTAACGATGAACGAAACAAAAAAACGGTTAAAATCACGTAAAAAGGTATTTTTTTACAAAATTCTTTTTGGGTATTTCGTGTCAAAAGTTTTTGTCTTTAAAAAAGACAGAATTTCCTCACGTCTTTTATTACAGATTGATAAATAGTGCTCATTGTTTTCTTTTCTCAAACCTTTCAAAATTAAACAAAACATAAGTTCAATAGAGCAAAAAGCATTAATGTCCTTAAAAAAAGATAAAACAATTGAAATTTTGCCTGCTGATAAAGGTAATGCGACCGTCATCATGGATTATAATATCTATGATCAAAAAATTAATGAACTTTTAAATGACAGAAGTTATTCAAAATTGAACAAAACTCCAACAGAACGTTTTGAAAGACAAATTTATAACACTTTAAAAAAATTTAAACATGAATTCGCAGATTACGTTAGATCAAAATTAACACCACACA